AGGAGGAGCGGGAAGGGGGAGGAGGCCCGGGAAGGAAGAGCGGGTAGAGAGGAGGGGAGAAAGGCAGGGGGAGGAGGATGAGGAGGCAGGAGGGTGGAGAGGAGAGGAGGGAAGGGGAAGGAGCATGGGAAGGAGGAGGAGGGAGGATGATGAGGAGGGAGGAAGGTGGGAGAGGGAGGATGAGGAGGGAGGAGGAAGGGGAGGAAAGGATGAGGAGGGGGGAGGGAAGAAGGTGAGCAAGGAGGAGGGGAAGGCAGAGAAGTCTGAAGAGGGGAGGGGGTGGGAGAGGGGAGGCTGGGGAGGGGCTGCACTCCCAGTGGCCCCAGGCTGGCTCCCCTGCCCACCCAGTGGTGAGGAAAAGCAAACCTAGAGAAGGCAAGGGGTTGGGGGCAAGGCTCCAGGCAGGGCAGGGGCCAGAGGAGGGGAGGGAAGAGGCAGGGAGGCAGGGAGCAGGGAGGCAGGAGGCAGGGAGGCAGGGAGGCAGGTAGGCAGGAGGCAGGGAGGCAGGGAGGCAGGGAGGCAGGAGGCAGGAGGCAGGGAGGCAGGGAGGCAGGGAGGCAGGGAGGCAGGAGGCAGGGGGCCCTCTCCCGGGGTTGCTGTGTTGGCAGGGTCAGGCCTCAGCCTTGGTGGCCCTGGGGGGAGACCCAGAGGGAGGAGGGCAGGGGAGCAGGAGGGCCTGGTCCACCTGTGTGCAGGGCGGGGCTGGGGTTCAGGTGCGAGCAGGAGGCTCAGAGGGCAGCCCCAGCCACACAGACGCATCCTCTCCTCCCTGAGTCAGCTGGGGAAAGTGAAGAGGGCAGCCCCGGGGTGAGTCCCCACATCCCGGAAAGGCCAGCCCACAGGGAGCCCTTAGCCTGGGACGAATATCCAGGCCCCAGCCCGCCTGGAGGGGGGGGGGGAACCCTGGCTTGGTGGCTTCACCTGGACCCTCCCCCAATGTCTCACTATGTGCTGGCTGTAGGAACGGCTGCGGGCTTCACCAGAACACCACACAGGCAGCCCCACTGCACCCAGGCCATCAACGGCGGACACATGCCTCCCAGGCACAAGCAGAGCTCTGGGTACACCTGTGCCACCACCTGTCCGTGCATGACCTCCGCTGTACCAGTGACAGGCACGGGTCTACCACCCTTCTGTACACACGCACACACACCTGTGCACACACACCTGTGCACACACACCACGTCCACTGGCACAGACCTGCCCCGTGCCGCCTGTACACACACAACTACGCTTGCAGAGCGCACACACATGCGCGCGCAGGATCCCCGCTTCCACACTCAAAGGGACAGGCCTGCCCTTCTGCCCACCTGTGCACTCACACACATACTCGTGCACACACACACCTGTGCATGTACGACATACCTGTGCGCACACACCTGTGCACGTACACCTGTGTGCACACACACTTGTGCCCCCATCGTGATCTCCCTTGTTCCACACTCAGGCACAGGTCTGCCCTGCCACCCATCTGTGTACTCACACACAACTGTGTACAGACACACCTGTGCATCCAAGTGCACACACGCACGCACACATTGTGACCCCCCTGTTCCACACGAAGAGGCCTGCCCTGCGCCCAGCTGTACACATGCTCACACCCCCAAAACTCCCCGCCCCTCACCGCAGGCCCAGAAGTCCTTTTCCCTGAGGAAGGTGCCCAGGAGGAGGCGCTGGAGACAGTTGCACTTGTCACCAGGTGGGGCGCACTTGGGAGGCTGCAGAGCGGCCGGGAAAGGGCTGGACTGGGGGATGGTGATGTAAGGCAGCAAGGAAGGAAGAAGGGGGCAAGGGAGGCGGGCCCACCGCAGATGGGCGCAGCTTTGCCCAGGGGATGGAGGAGGGGGCTTCCTGGTGGGGGCCGGACATGGCTGGGCAAGGTGCAGTGCGGCCCCCCGACGCACCGTGAGGCGCCGCGCCGCGTCCACTTCGATCATGCCGCGCAGCAGGCTCTGGCAGTCTGGTGGGATGAAGTGGGGCATGTGGAAGACGCCGCGCTTGACCTTCTCCAGCAGCTGCCGCAGGTTGTCGTCGTCGAAGGGCAGCGCCCCCTGCGGGCGGCGAGGGGAGCGTAAGCGCGCACGGGACTGCGGGCAGCACCGCGGACAGCTCCGCGCAGGTCCGGCCGCGGGGAGAGGGGCGGGGCGGGGGCGGGGACAGAGAGGGGAAGGAGGAAACGGGGATGAGGAGAAGGCGGGAAGGGAAAGGAGGGGAACAAAAGGGACCAGGAGGAAGTGGTAAGGTAGGGAAGGAGAAGCAGGAGGCGGAGGAGGGGAGAAGGGGACGGGGGTAGGGCAGAAGAGTGGGCAGGGAAGAAAGGGAGGGAGGAGGGGAGAAGGGGGCGGAGGGCGGGGAGACTGGGGGCGGGCGCAAGGACCGGGGTGGAAGAAAAGGGGGAAGAGAAGGGGAAGAAAGGGAGAGGTGCGCAGGGAGCAGGGAGGGGAAAAGGGAGACGGGGTGGGCGCAGGGACGGGGTGGGGGACAAGAAGGAATGGGGAGGGCGCACAGAGGAAGAGGAGGAGAAGAAAAGGAGAGGGGGGTGGGCGCAGGGACGGAGTGGAGCCTCACCACCAACAGAGCGAACAGGATCACGCCGCAGCTCCACACGTCCGCCTTCCGGCCGTCATACTTCTCACCCTGCGGACAGTAACGGCCAGGCAGTTGGCTGAAGCGCAGGGCCTGGCCTGGGGTCTTCGCGGGTGGAGGGGCTCAGGGGGCGGATTCAGGTGAGAGCAGGGTCCGTGGGTGCCCAGGCCGGGGGCAGGGAGGCCCCTTTGGCCGGAGCAGGGGTGGGGCCGCTGGCTACTTACCCGGATCACCTCGGGGCAGGCGTAGTGGGGGGACCTAAAAACAAAAGCTGCAGGTCAGCAGAGGAGGCGCGCAGGAACCCTTCTCCAGCACCCCCCAGCCTGGGCCTCCGAGCCCACCCCCCAGGACCACCAAGGTGGAGACTAAAAAGGGTGTGCCTCTTGTTCCCCACTGCCTCCAGAAGCTCCTCCCTGGCCCTGTGCTGCTCTTGCCCATTCCTGCCAGCCTCCCCCTGCTCCACACGCTCCCCCGGGTGGATGCGCCAATGTGAGGCCGCGGGCTGAGGTGGGGCCCGCCGACCCCGAGAATGCCAGCTGTCCAGGATGCGCTCATGGACTCTGGGCCGAACTCACCACAACCCAAACCCGCTGCCTGCTCGTAGGAACAGACCACGTCGGGGAAGGTCCGCCTTCTGCCCAGACCTCACTTGGGCTGTCCTCGGTTCTAACCCCATGGGGACAGGGTAGGGGCAGGCACTGCTGAGAGCAGACACCTAAGGGGGCTTTGCTGAAGGAGGGGCCTGTACTGAGGGGGAGGCGGCTTTGTAAAGGGAGAGGACTGCCCAGAGGGGAGGGGCTTATGTGAAGGGGCGGGGCCTGCATAGAGGGGAGGGGCCTGCACACCGGCTCTCACTCCTTAGCGGGCAAGTAGTGACCCGGGCAGGGCAGCCTTGCAGAGCTGGGGCAGAGACCAAGGGTGTCTGGGCTGGCAAGGGCACCTGCTGGGCCCATCCCCCTCCCCCGCCTGCAGAGCTTAGGCTGTGTGCTGGGGAAGGGGGTCCAAGCCCCAGCTCCAACCCCAGACAGTGAGGGCAAGCAGGCTAGAAGGTGGCCCTCGGCTTCATGGCCCCGTGGCTGGGCGGGCAGTAAAGGCCCCGGGGCCTCCCTGGCTGCAGAGGCCGCTGGCCGCTTTCTCAGTCTGCCTTTGGACGCCCCCCGCCCGTCCTATCGAGGCACCCACAGGGCCGGGCTAGGAGCCCAGGCCTGGCCGGGCTGTGCGCTGGAGCAGCAGCCCTGGACCGGACATCACCTGCTCCTCCCTCGCCGGACCCGGCGTGCAGCACCAGCAGCGGCCAGGAGGGGGAGGCCGCGGGTGGCTGCCCGGCCACGCGGGCAGGCTCCGGAGGTTCGCCGCGGTCAGCCCGCAGGCCCTGGACCGCACCGGGCGGACAGCGGGCGCGTCCACTCACCCGCAGCTGGTCTCCAGCAGGCTGTCGCCAACCTGCAGCGACGCCATGCCGAAGTCGGCGATGCGGATGTTATTCTTCTCGTCCAGGAGGAGGTTTTCTGGTTTCAGGTCCCTGTGGCTGGGGAGGAAGGTGGGTTAAGGCCGCGTCACGGGTGGGCGCGTCAGCCTCTCCTCTCCGGAGCCCCCGGGCCTCGGAGACGCCCCTTGCCCCTAGGGCCCTGGGTTCAAAGCCTGACTGTAACAGCCCCAGGGCGACTCCCCTTTCCCCCCTCCCCTGCACCACCGCGGGAGCTGCCTCCCCTCCCCCAAACTCCAATATACACAAACACGGGGCCAATGGCAGCCCAGCCTGGTGATGTCACAGCCAGCCAATCAGAAGTGGTCTGCTGGCGTGGGCTGGCTCTTCTTTTGGTCTTTTGGGGATGAAAGGGGTGCAAAATCCCTCCTGCCTCCTGGCCACCCTTCATCCTCGGGCCCTCCCCGCTGGCTCCGGCTCTCTCAGCGGCTGGTGGGGCTGCACCCCGCTCTCCTCAGCCAGGAACCAGGGCTGCTTGCGCCCCTCCCCTTCCTGCCTCCCCCACCTGTCCTGCTGTGACCCAGGGCCTCACAGAACACCGGACTTGCCCTAAAAGAGAGCCGAGGCCCCCAGACACTCAGGGGTGGATTCCTTGGCCTGGCCTCCTGTAAAAGCTGAGGAGGGGCTTCTGCACCCTTGGGTGGGCACCTGGCAGAAACCTTCCGATGTCCCCCTGGAGGGGGATCAGGGGAGGGGCACTGTCTGCTCCAGGCAGGCTGGAGGAGAGAGCCAGGGGCAGGCGAGGACAGGTGGGGGCACATCTGGAGGGAAGAGGGCAGCCGGGAGGGCTGGGGGGCACTGAAGAGGGGAGGGAGCACTTTGGAACGATGGGGGGGCACCTGGAAGGTGGTACTGGGGGGCAGGGGGCACTGAGGAGGACAGGGGCACCTGTGGGGGACAAAGGAACCTGGGGGACAAGGGGCCCCTGAGAGGCAAGGGGGCCCAGAGGAGATGGGAGCTTGTGGGGGCGCGCACCATATGGAGTGACTGTGGCAGAAGTCCAGCGCTGAGATGATCTGCCGGAAGAACTTGCGGGCCTCTTTGGGGGTCAGCCTTCCCTTTTTCACAAGGTAGTCGAAGAGCTCCCCGCCGGACACATGCTCTAGCACCAGGTATCTGGGACAGACAGCGGACGCGTCAGGCTGCTACGTACGGGGTGTGCAGCTGCCCCTGAGGCCCCCCGCCAGCCCGCGCTGCGCCAGCCGGAGGCTGCGGCCATCACCCCGTCCCCCACCCCAACACCGCACACGTCCCAGCACCCACCACCCTCCAGGGCAAGGAGCCCGATGCCCCCCCCCCACATCCTCAAAGCCCACTAAGTTGTCCTAACCCCACCCAGCCTGGCACCCTCCACCCTCCTGCCCCCAGGACCGGGCCTGGGAGGGTGGGGCAGGGCAGTCGGCAGAGGAGACCTGTGAGTGCCCAGGGTCTGAGAGCGAGGAACAGCAAGCCCCAGGATGAAAGTTGTCAGGCCCTGTCCTTGCTGATGGAGAAGGGGGGTCACCGGCCCGCCTCCTCTCTCTGCCCTTCAAGCCCCTCCCTGGCCAGCCCACGCTGGGCTCTTGGGCTGCAGTTGAATCAGACACGCCCTTAGCCCTCAGGGAGCCCCAACCAGCAGCTCAAGACAGGGGGGCTCAGGAGGTGGGGGCCAAGAATGGCCCGGGAGGTGACCCTCGAGCAGGTCTGCTGGGGACCCAGGGAGGGGAAAGGGTGAGAGCAAGGCCCAGCAGGGTGTGGCTGGAACGGCAGGGGTGAGGGGTCCGGGTTCCCCTGGGGTGTCTGTCCTGCTCTGCGCCTACCAGCCGTGCAGCTTTCCACTTGTCCTAATGCTCCTGCCCGTTTCCTGGTTTGTAAGACCAGGCTAGCATGCATCCTCGTCCCCACTGATGTAATATCCTGCCTGGCAGAGCAGGACCTTATTGGTGTTGGCCACGGAAACTGAGCAAGGACCCAAAGAACAAAGGACTCTAGGACCAAGGATTCAGGGACTCAAGGATCCATGGACGAAGGGACTCAAGGACCTTAGGCCCAAGGACTCGAGGACACACATAACAAAGGACCCCTGGCTCAAGGACCCAAGGACCCTCAGACCCAGAATCAAGGACTCAAGAACCTAAGGACCCTAAGACCCAGGAACTCAAGGACACAAATAACCAAGGACCCTAGGGCCCAAGAACTCAAGGACCCTAGGGCCCAAGAACTCAAGGACCCCAGGATCCAAGGAACAAAGGACCAAGGACTCAGGACACAAATACGAGAGGACCCTAGAGCCCAAGGACTCTGGGACTGAAGACCTCAAGATGCCACCCTGGGCCCAAGCTTCCTGCTGAGTGACCAGAGATGGCGTTGGGGACCAGGAGGGCTTCCCAGGGCAGTGCCCCATGTGCCTTTCCTCACTCAGTCCCCCCCTGAACTCACCCCCCTCACACACAGAGGGCACAAGGGCCTTGCTGAGACCACACACACAGTCCTGGAAGAACTGGGGCGCGTCCCTGCTCCACAATCCCAACCCCCCATCCTCCCCCCCCACTCCCAGGAGAGTACCAAGACCACAGGGTCGGGTGACTTGCCTGGGGCCACACAGGGAGCAGGGGGTGGAGCTGGGGTTCCAACCATGCCTGCTGAACCCCCAGTCCTGCCAGGAAGGGGGCGGACAAGTATCCCACTGGCCTCTGCTGGCTCAGCAGCCCAGGGCCAAAGCTGAGAAGGAGGGGCATCCCCAGGTTGTACTGGCAGGTGTGCAGGAATCCAGATGCGGGTGAGGGACCCCAAGCCAGAGGGTGGAGGAGTAGACAGGGCAGAGGGGGCACAGGCTCCGCGGAAGTGGGGAAGGGTCTGTGGTGACCTCCAATAGGAGCCCTGGGCAGAGTTCGGGGAGGGGCAGAAGGCTCTCTGGGGCCGGGTGTGCCAAGTGTCCCTGCCCCTCAATGCAGCAGTGGTGGGAGGGGGCCCCAGCCCTCTCCTCAAGAAGACCTGTTGCCCACGTGGTGGTTCCGCCAGCCCCAACAGCGCAGGCCAGGGGTCTGGTGAAGGAGCAGGGAGCCGAGCAGCCTAGGGGCTCACCCATCAGACTCTGCCCCCTGTGCTGAGTCCCCCTGTCCCTGCCTGGGCCCTCCGGGGACACCACTCACCAGCCCTGCCCCCAGCAGTGGGAGCTCCAAGACCCAGGTCCTGCCAGCGGGGGCTGCAGTCCCTGCCCCAGGGCCCGCCTGCCCTGGGCCCCTCCCCCATCAGAGCAGCCCCACCTCTGGCCCCGCCCCAGCTCTCCAAACCCAGCAATACCTACAAATATTTTTTATTTTCATAAACGTCGTGGAGCTTTAGGACGTGTGGGTGCTCTATGAGCTTCAGGATGGCTATCTCCCGCTCCACCTGCAGAGAGAGCACAGCGTCAGGGCGGGGCGGGGGCGTGGGGCACGGGGCACGGGTGAAGGGGCGCGGGCTGGGGATGCAGGGGCGTGGCAGCTAGGATGCGGGTGCAAGGGCTCCGTGCGTGGGTGCAGGGGCATGGGGAGTGGGTGCAGGAGCGCGGGATGTGGGGTCCAGGGGCACGGGTGCAGGGGCGTGGCAGCCAGGGCGCGGGTTCAGGGGCGTGGCCACCAGCATGGCCAGTGAGGCAGTTGTAGCGACTGCAGGTAGGTGCTGGGTGTGAGGGGATGAAGAGGGACATGGGCCACTCATCCTGCCCTCATGGGGCCTCCTCTTGGCAGAGGAGACAGAGACATGAGGGCTGTGGTGCCATCTCGCAGGGGCTGGAGGTTGAGGAGGGCCCCAGGACCCCCCGGGCTACACCCGCCTGCAGCCCTCCTCTACCACTGAGAGAGTGGGGAGACCTGGGCGAGAGCTCCGTGCTTAGCTGGCAGGGCGCCCGTGGGTGGAGACGGGGCAGCCCCTGAAGCCGGAGGCCCTCACCACACTGACCTGTCCGGGAGCGAGTGAAGCCTGGTGCTAGTCAGGTAGCCTAACCCTTCCCCAGACCTGGTTCCTGAGCCACCCTGAGCTGCCCCTCTTATCTGAGTCTTGGCTTCAGGGCCTGTGCCTGGAGATTTGGGGAGGTGGTCTCCAAGGGCTTCCTGCCAGAGAGCGTAGCAGCTCCTCCACCAACTGCCGTGGGGAGGTTCTCCCCCCCAGAGCAGGGCAGCCTTGGAGGCCAAGCCGGACAGCGCCACTTTGCACAGGAGCCGGGGAGGCAGGGGGTGGGCAGGGGCCTGGCCAGGTGACCAGGGGCTGCCTCAGAGCAGCGGTGAGCAAGGCCAGGCCTCAGGCAGAGCTGTGGACGTGCAGTGTGCCCGTGTGGTGTGAGTGTGCCCATATGTGTGTGCATATGCTTGGGTATGTGTGTGTGCCCATGTGTGTCTGTGCCCACGTGTGTACGTAAGTGTGCCCATACATGTGTGTGCCCGTGTATGTGTATGTATGTGTGCCCATGTACGTGCACATATGTGTGCCTGTGTGTGCCCATGTATGTGCCCGTGTGCCCATTTGTGTGCCCGTGTATGTGCATGTATGTGTGCCCATGTGTGTGCTCATGTATGTGTACGTGTGTGCCCATGTATGTGTATGTATGTGTGCCCCTGTATGTGTGTGACTGTGTGTATGTATGCTCATGTATATGTGTGCCCAAGTATATGGACCTATGTGTGCTCATATATGTGTGCCTTTGTATGTGTGTCTGCCTATCTATGTACCCATGTATATGTACATATGTGTGTGTCATTTATGTGTGTGTGTATATACGTGTGAGGACGCATGCCCATGTGGGGCTCCATATGCACGTGTGTGCTTGTGTGCTGTGGGGGGTGAGGGCATGGGCAGACCCTTCAGGGTGTGTCCCCCACATTCACAGCCCCCCAGCTGGCACTGCTTCTGAGGGGAGAGGGTAGAGCACATCCCAGAGCCCTGGGCGGGGGGGGCAGAAGTGGCCCCAAGCACAGCCTCCCTGCCCTTCCAGAGCCTCCGGGAGCATCCTGGACCAAAGACACCCAGGACCGGACACCTGTCCTACTTCTGAACAGGCCATTGTGGGAGCTGGCAGCCCCGCAATACTCCACCTTGCCCCCAGCCCCATCCTGATCACTGGGCCCGGGAGTCCCTCTGAGTCATGATGGGTCCTAGTTGGGGACACAGGGACACAATGGCGCTTGGCTGCAGCCCTTCGTGCTCCTAGTCCTTCACGGGGCACCCCCCCATCTGCCTTCCCCGCCCCCTCCCATGGAGATCCTGTCCCCCCTTCGGGTCCCTCACAGTATCTTGAACCTGAAGCGCCTCCACTGAACACTGAGTCCTCGCCCCCCACCCCAAGGCAGACCCTCCCTTTGTCCCCCCACCCAGATGCCCAGGCCCCAGCCAGGCACTGTCCCTGACCTCCTTGTCCCTCACCACATCCTAAGCTCCAAGGCCAAGTTGTAACTCAGCTGCCCCTCACACCTGCGCAGCACCCACCCCATCCAAGCTTCTGTCACCTCCTCTTAAAACTGCCCATCTCCCCTCGGGTGCCCAGCTTCCCCCCTTTGGCCCACCCAAGTCCATCCCTGTCCCCAGCAATCAGAGGGACTCGTCATTCCCGCCCTAGACCGGACAGTAGCCCCCTCCCCCACAAGTCTGCAGTCAGCTGGTTCCCCAGCTCTGCTTGGGAGAGAGAGAACATCAGAGTGCACTGTCCCCAAGGGCAGGGGACTCAGGAGAGCCCCACTCTGCTACCCACCCAGCCCCAGAGCAGACCTCAGGGAGGTGCTGAGGGCTAGGCTGGGTCAGGCCAGCTTCCAGCCTCCTTGCCCCAGGGGAGATGGGGGTGGGAGGGCTGCTTCCCAGGGCTGTAGAGGTCTCATGTGACTCCAAGCCCAGGGGCCAGGGTGAGGGGAGCAGGGCCTCGGACTAGGAACCCCAGAGGCCCTAAAAGTCCCTCCCTATGAGTCTGGGCAGACTTCAGGAGTCCCCGCCCCACCCGCAGTCTGCCCATCACACGACATCAGGCCCCAGTGGAGTGGGGGGAGGCAGGCTGGGCCTCCTCCATGCAGAGTCTGCACCCCCCACGGGACAGGGGCAGGGAGAGGAAAAACACGGAGGAAGAGGAGGCTGAGTGGGATTCTTCGGGCTTGTCATTTCCTCTTTCTACCCTCAGAGACGGGGGTCTCCCCCAGATTTCGGTTAGGGAAACTGAGGCCCAGCCAGCTTGCCCAGGAGGTCCGAGCAGCACCAACGCTGGGCCACAGGCTTCCTGCCACCCCACTCATGGGCCTGTCCCCCAGGCCAGGGCGTGCCTGGCTCACCTCCGCAGGAAAAAAGGGGCACCGGGCTGGAGCTGACCAGACGCCCGGGGAGGCCGCCAGCAGAGGAGGGGCGAGGGCACATCCCGGGAAGGAGCCCCATCGGTGTCCGGCAGAAAGGAGCGGAACCACTTGGGGAGCCCTTAGCGCACCCCCATGCCCCGCCCCTGAGCCCCCAAACGTCCCACCAGCACCGCCCCCAGGTCCCGCCCCCACCAGCACCGCCCCCAGGCCCCGCCCCCACCAGCGCAGCCCCCAAGCCTGGCCAGGTCTCCCCCTCACCTTCATCAGCACAGACTCGCTGAGCTTCTCCCGGTTGACGATTTTGATGGCGACCTTTTGGCATGTGACACAGTGAATCCCCAGCTTCACAAGGCCTGCGGAGGAGAGAAGGCGGAGGCTCAGACCCCGTGGGGCACCCGGCGCCGCCCCCAGGATGGAGCCCCCGACCCCCAGGCAGCCCCCCAACTGCATAGAGCCCTCCTGACTTAGGGCAGCTGCGACCTCCTCCCCAGGGGCCCTGGGACCCCACCGGCTCCCGGTCTGGCGCGTCACTCAGACCCCTAGGGAAGTGTCCAGGTCCAGCTCCCCCTCCCTGGGTGCTACGCTCCTGTTGGTGCCCCCTTCTCCACGCCCCTCCCTGCCCGCCTGCCCGAGCCTGCCGCCGGCCCACAGTCTGCCTCCCCGTCACTGCCGGGAGCAGCCTGGTGGCTGTGCCTCACTCTGAACCGCCGCCCACCCCCACTCCCCGGCCGCATTCTTCCGCCCACAAACCTCCCCTTTGGCCCCTCGGGCCTCTGGTGGGCCCTTTCTCTCCTGGCGTGAGTCCCAGGCCTACATGGCCCTTGACACCCACAGCGTTCTCTCGGGCACTCGAGCCCTCCTCCAGGCCTGCAGCTTGGGATCCAGGGTGCCCTCAGGCCAGGACACGCCTCTCTGCCCACTCAGCGGCCCAAACTTGCTAGGCTTCTCCCACCCACCCTCCTTCCCCCCTGCCCTGAAGACCAGGACAGAGGCTCCCTGTACACGTGCACGTGTGTGTGTGCACATGCATGCACACGCACACATGCCTGCACACACGTGCACACACACACGCACGCACACACACACGCCTGTGCACACATGTGCACACCCACGCACACACATGCACACACGACTCTCCAGGATACCAGGGCAGTCCCAAGCCTACTGCCTGGCCAGCCACCCAGCCTCCAGGGTGTTATAGGATGAATTGTGTCCCCCAAAATTTGTGTTGTAAATCCTAACCTCTATGCCTGTGGCTACAATCCCATTTGGGAAGAGGTTGTCTTTGTCGTGTTAACGAGGCAGGATTAGTGGAGGGTGTGTCTTGAGTTAATCTCTTTTGAGATATAAAAGATTAAACAAGCCAGCCAGCCAGCAGAGACGGCGGAAGAGAGATGCCAAGCACATGGACATGTCCAAGGAGCCAAAGCACAAGGACCGTCCCTAGGGGTGACAGAGAGAAAGCCTTCCTCTAGAGCCAGCACCCTGAATTTGGACTTCTAGCCTCCTAAACCGTGAGAAAATAAATTTCTGTTTGTTAAAGCCATCCACTTGTGGTATTTCTTTTATAGCAGCACTAGATAACCAAGATACAAGGTCACCGTCAAACTCCTTAAAGACGCACCATGCTGGTCACCTCCATTTGTCACCCAGACTCAGCCGTGCGGCCATGTGCTCTTCCCTCCAGGGCTCTCGCCCACGAGGGCCAGCAGCTGCCCTAGGACTGGACAGCCCCGTGCCCCCCCAGGGCCCCACACCCGAGTTCTCCAACACTTCCTTCCCATCCTTCTTCCCGGCGGGGCCATTTGGGAATTTGCTGGGGGTTGGATTTCACAGTGGTGGGGGCCCCCTCTGACATTTCGTGGCAGGGCCTGCATTACATCAGGTGACAGTCCACACAATTCAATCTTCCCGTGTCCGGGCACGTGGGTGGAACGCCCGTCTTCAGCGCTGCACCCCAGAGGCTGAACAATGAGTCTGCTGGATTTCAATAGACATGGAATGTTCCAGGAATGCAGTCCCCGCTAAGACTGGGAGACGCTTATATACTTGGTTTCGTTTAAACTCCAGCAAGAGCCATTTCTGATTTCAGAACATCGTGGTCCCAGCGGCAACACCCCCTCATGGTGCAGGGTCGCGGGTGCCCCCCAGGTCCTGCCCGCCTCGGAGGTTGCTGCCTCCACGCCTTCCCCTCTATCCACGAACAGGTACACACACCTGTACCGCTACCTCCAGGCACAGCTGGTCACAGCTGCACTCACGACTGTCCTGGCTGGTCCACGAGCCATCCCTGTCCCTTCCCCTTTACATCCGCCAGGGCAGCGCTGTGTGCGGGCGGGCTAGAGCCCCTGACCTCCTGGAGGACAGAAGGGCGGGCTCAGAGGGCAGGCGTGTGATAACGCTGTGCCTCCCGAACACCACCGCCAAACCTGCATCAGGCAGTGCTGCGAAAGGAGCAAAAGAAGGTTCTGGGGCGAATAAAACCAAAACCCAAACCCACCGTCATCGAGCGGATTTCAACTCATAGCAGCCCTATTGGACAGAGTAGAACTGCCCGTAGGGCTTCCGAGGCTGGAAGCTTTGCGGAAGCAGACTGCCACAGCTTCTCCCACGGAGCGGCTGGTGGGCTTGAAACACCAACCTTTTTGGTTGACATCCGAGTGCTTAAGAACCAGGCCACCAGAGCGCCTCAAAATGTGAGCTTGTTTGGAAACAGGGTCTTTGCAGATGCAGTTGGTCAGGATGAGGTCTTACCAGGGTAGGGTGGGCCCTAATCCAATGACGAGTGTCCTTATAAGAGAAAGAGACGCAGACACAGACAGACAGAGGGAAGACGGAGGCAGAGATGGTAGGGATGTGACTACAAGCCAAGGAACGCCAAGGCTTGCCGGCAGCCGCCAGGAGCTGGGCAGGGGGGCGGGGCGGGCAGAGAACAGATTCTCGGAGACTCCACAAGAGAGACATGGCTGACGCGCTGATTTGAACTCAGCCTCCCAAACGTGAGCGAGTCAAGGTCTGTCGTTGTAACCGACCCGCTTTGTGGCACTTGGCCCCAGCAGCCATGGGAACTCACACCCGATTGACCAGCTGGGTGCCGCTGCCTGCTCCTCTCCCCATGTTCACGTATGCACACCACACACCCAGAACTTGCCATAAACCTGCCACGCGTGGCAGGGACCCAAGGTGCCCCCAGTACCCACGTTCCCCTTCCTCCTCCAGGAAGCCCGGGTTCAAGTGGACACGTGTCTGCCGTCAGACGGCCGTCTGGGGTGGAGGTGCCCCATGGGGCTTCCAGGAACCCCCAGGTGGGGGACAGTTAGTTCCTGCAGCCTGGAGCCGGGTGATTGCTGGGTCCAGCAGACACCCTAGTCGTGAAACGGAGGCCGACCGTGATGGGGAGGGGCACGCATGCCGTGGGGCCGCCAAACCCACTCTGAACAGCGAGCTTAGACAAGAGAACAGGCCTCGGTCAGGGCCCAGGCCTCTGCCTCCAGGAATCACTCCCCTGGCGCCTCGCCCCCTGGAATTGGAATCCTGTCCCCACCTATCCTGGCCACGCCCCTTGCCGCCAGGCACCACAGCCACGCCACGCCCGCCCCAAGCCGGCTGCAATCAGAACCGCCCTGAGCCTTGGCACCTCCAGGCGGCCAAAGGACGGAGCAGCCGTCACCAGAGAGAGTGCTCGCCCCACCGCGATTCCCTTCTGTCTCGTGTGAACCACCACTCCATCTTGGCGTCCCGGGCCCCGTTATAGCGGCTCAGCGGTGCCCCAGGACAACGCAGTGCAACCCGGATCTAGCCAGTACTGCGGTCACTCACAACGCAGCCAGCGTGCCTATTAACAGCAGCTGTGCCGCCTTCCGCTCAGGGCCCTGCCAGCAGCAGGACTCGGCCCCTTGTCAGCGGTGGCCATGCCCGTGGCTACATCAGCCGGCACGCCCTTACTCAGGACAGCCAACATCTTTTCAGATACTTACAGACTATGCACAGGAGCCCTGGTGCAGCAAGGATTAAGTGCTGGGCTGCTAACTGATAGGTCTAACCCACCCAGCGGCTCCGCCAGAGAAAGACCTGGCAATCTACTCCTGTAAAGATTAGAAAAAAAAAAAACACGCACGCAAAAAACAAAAAAGCCCACTGCGGTCCAGTCGATTCTGACTCATAGCAACCCTGTAGGACAGAGTAGAACTGCCCCATGAGGTTTCCAAGGCTGTAAATCTTTGCGGAAGCAGACTGCCACATCTCTCTCTGGTGGAGTGGCTGCTGGGGCCAAACCGCCAGCCTTCTGGTTTGCAGCTGAGCGCTTAACCTCTGAGCCACCAGGCTCCTTCCTGTAAAGATGACAGCCTAGAAAACCCTATGAGGCAGTTCTACTCTGTCAAATGGGGTTGCTGTGAATCTGGGCACAGCATCCAGATGACACACAGCGTTCCAGGGACAGACAGCATCACCCTCCAGCCACCCTGCCTGTGCACTGCCTTCCAAGTCCAAGCATACCCGCCTGGACCTCCACGCCCCTCACCACATCGGCCACCCTCCTGGCCCTGCAGCCTGCATGGTCCCGAGCCCCTCACCCACCTGCTGTGGCCAGTCCCCTTGAGCCCAGCCCTGACTACCACCTCGGAGCTGGCACCATGAAGACCGACTGGGCAAATTTGGTTTCCCCTGGACTGTAGACTCACTCCTGCTGAGAGGTCCGACAGTGGTGTACCTAGAAAGTCCTGGCGGTCCCTTGGGACCCCCCCCCCAACAGGCCCCAGGAGAGAATAGCACCCACCAGGAAGCTGCACGCGGGAGGCAGCCAGCTTGGCGTTCGAGCTCTGCTAGGTGGGCAGACACAGCATCTCTGCCGGAGCTCAGGGGTCGGGCATGAGGCTCCGGCACAGGAAGGCTGTCCTGGGCCCAGGAACCCAGGGGGACAAAGCCATGCCTCCCTGAGGGCAGGCGAGGTGGAGTAGAGGACCCCGGGAAGAGGGGGTGCCCCTGTGTAACTCCCTGTACTGACAGCAAGGACAGATGGGGCCCAGGCCCCAGCGGGGTGCGCCGTGCCAGCCACACTCCCAGCTGCTCCTTCCCGGGAAGGGCCACCCCTCACTGGCTGCCTTTGATCGTGCGCGGGAGCCTGTGATCCAAGGCACAGAGGGAAGGCGGAGGGGAGACAGACAGGGCTGTCATCTATAATTCAGAGCGCAGGAAGGGCTGCGAGCCAGCAACTCTCCCCTCACCTCCAGGAGGGGGGCTGGCACCCTCCCTGCTCCTGACGCCCCCTTGAGGGTGCCCTGCTCAGGGCCCCCCACTGCCTGGCCCTCTGCTGGCCAGCTGTCGCTCCATCCCCTGCCCCCGCCAGGCACAGCGGTTCACGTACCCCAGGTCAGGAGGTACCTGGCCAGCAGGACTGTGCGTCCAGAGATGGAGAAGGGCAAGACCAATTTACAAGTAAAACCTCCGTCCAGCAAAGATTCCCCCAAAACAAGGCTGAACGGTGAGTGAGAAAGCGGGGACAACTGTAGGAAGTGACAAAAGGCTCCTCTCGTGAACGGGGACAAGTTCCTAAAAATTCCACGGGGGTCTGAAAGACAGTCACCAAGAGCAGGGAACAGGTCACAGAGGAAGGGCACTCACGACCCACAGACCACCACCCGGCATGAGGCTTTCAAAGAATAAGCGCTGCCACTGTCCCCAGGACGCAGTCACTGCCAGGCAGGTGAGGGGACACGGGGCGCTGGGGCAATGCCCTCAGGGATCTGGGCAGTGCAGCCGGGGGACAGGCATACATGACCTGTGGCCCCGCGCTGCAAGGTCTTTCATTTCCGTATGATGTGAGAACAGCCTGAGTGTCTCCAAACCCGAGAGTCGACAAGCAATTACAGCAATGGGTCCATGCAGCCAGTTCAATGACCGGGCGACTGGAACGCAGAGCCCGGAAGGAGCGTGCCTGCTGGACAGCAGCGGGAGCACCAGCTACAGAGCGCGCAGTCACTGGAGGAGGACAAACGACACACACACGTGCACGCGTGTATACACAGAGACCCCATACTTGTGCACACATACCCAGCATGCACACACACACCCACCACAAACACACACTTGCGTGCACACACAACCTAGCACAACGATATACACAGTTACCTTCCCACACCCGTGAGCACACACCGTGTGTGCACATACATACATCATACATATCCCAACATACACAGCCCACATGTGCGTGTGCACACAGCCACCCCTCCACGCACAACCATGCACGTGCACACTTCACACATACCCAGTACACACACAACCAGCACACACACCACACGCATGCATGTACACAGACACACCCACATCTCCAAACACACACACACAACCCCCCACACACCCAGTGCACACAGACCCACACCCCCCCCACAACCACAAACACGCGCACACACGGGCACACCCACACAGAAAGGTGCAGCGAAGGTGCTGTCAAAGGCCTTTACCGGCCTCTCCCTGTGGACACTGCAGATACTCGTCGTAGAAGAAAACAGAAGGAGAAAAGGGGCCTTAGAAGACGGGGTTCAAAAGACGCAGGTGGGAAATGGGGTCCCGCTTCCGGAAAGAAGGAAAGAAAGCAGGTCACAAAACCACAGTGAGCCCAGCAGCGTTCCTTGACGGCGTTCCGGAAGCGCGGCGTTGGCAGGCCGCTGAGAGGGATGACAGTGACTTTGACAGCGACCGTAACGCCCAGTCGGCTGAGTGCTGACTACCCGAGGAGGCACGCTGCTGCTCGACCAGGGACTGTGGTCGCCCCCATTTCACAGGCGACGCAGCTGAGTGCTCTGTGATTCGCCAGTGTGAGGCTGGGAGGACACGGGGTCCCCACAGAACTTCACATCTTCCCCAGATGGGGCTCCTCGGGGGCAGGGGACGCTGTGTCAGGGTCCAGGCCTACGCACCACTGACAGCCCACACACGCCCTCAGGGCTGCCGGGACAGTCAGCTTCTTGAAGGATGAACAGATGGGCGGCGGGGCAGCGGCCACCGGACACCTCCTTGCCATGGCCCGTGAATGCTTCTCACAGCGGCTTAGGTGAGGAGGCATGGAGGTGTGGCTGGCGCCGGGGGCCGCCCTGGGCAGCGTTCTGAGCTCTGGACATGCCCTCCCAGGCTCCCGGAAAGTCCTTTCCTTGTTCCTTTGCCCACAGACTCCTACACACCCCTCAAGGCCTTGCACGGAGGTGCCCCTCCTCAGTGAAGCACCCCAGAGTCCTGTGGGGCCCGACATTTGTTCTGCCATTCCTGCCCCACGAGGTTGGACGGTGGCCTGGGGGACTGTGGTTTCTGCTGGGAAGCTCACAATGGCCCTTAATTACCCAGCCCTCCAACTCGGCAGAGGTTTATTTTCCAATTGTGACTTTTATCTCTAATTATTGTCTTTACAGCAAACACACGCTCCCATCAGGGCAGGAAAAGTATATCTTGTCATGGATAATTATATGGGAGGCCCCCGCCAGGCGGGGCCTGGGGCAGCAGGCAGGGAGCCGT